GATTCTATGAGTCTATGATTCTATGATTCCATACGTGTTACGCACCAGGCCATGTACATAAGTGCCTTCACTATGAAGGCAGTCAGGATGTTTGGAATAGAATTACAGCCTACATTAAAACCCAATTAATTTCTCATTTGAACTCCATACACTACCTGTATTTGAATAGTGTGATTTGCTATCTCAAAGATAAAAAGTATGGTATCTTTTTTTACGTTCATGTTCATAACTTCTTGTTTTCTTCTGCATCATTTCTTAACCACAGTTTGACAAAAGTATTGCCTATTCTATGAAGTTCTATCTGTGCCTGGGAGCATCTCTAAGAAGTCTTGTTAGTTTCTCTCAGGTACAGTTTTCTATAAATAAATAGGCTCCTTGAGATAGTAGGTGCTACTCTACATGCTGCATTCGTTTGTATCACCCGCCTCCTCTCCTGCCCTCTCCAGAGAGAAGGACACAGAACTGTGTATGAACGTATGAGCCCAAGCAAGAACACATTTCCTATTTGTCTCCCATATTGTTATGAAGCAAAAGTAAGTGTAATTGCCTTTCTACATTTACTTTGATACAATGCCATATAATGGGTTGGCCCCTTGCAAAGAAAGCATCAGACATGAAGTATATGTACTTCACCATCCCTATAAAGCATTCTACTTAACAGCTACACATGAATTCACACCTGTGACTTTTTCTTGGCTCAAGACTGAAAAAGCACTGAGCATACTACTGTGCAAAGAATTTTCTCTGAAGACTTCTGAGCTTTCAGCACTTCGTCTTATCTCTCCAAAGCATACTTACTTAAAGAAAAGCCAGGTGAATATTCTCTAGTTACCTTGGTCCTCAGTACAAAGACTGTATTGATATGTGAGAGGATCCCATGGAAACTAATATCAATATGAGGCCGGACCAGGGAGAAAACTGACAACAGACTGCAATTTCCTGGCTGCAGCTTGAATAAAAAAAAAAAAAAAAAAAAAGAAAAAAAAAAGAAAGATTGTTATGTTTTATAATAAAAATATACATGGAGTAATCATATTCAATTTGCTTAGATGACAATACTGAATGGAAAAGAGTACGTCCTTTATGCATTTCTCCATTAAAACACAAGGTTTTAAAATTAATTTTAAATTAGATTTTTTATATCAGAAGTATATTGACTTCAAAGTGCAATTCTAGTCTGCAAGATGACTTTGTAAAATTGTTAGACTATTCACATTTGTTATCTTTCAAACTGTTCCCACTCTACAGTAAAAAAAAGCCTTCCAGTGTTTTGCTCCTAAGTGACCTCTTTCAAACTCCCTTTTCAATAAGCTATGTTCTCTAAAGCATCAACTCTGATAAGAAGGATTCTGATAGCCATCCTCAGTAGGCTGAATAGTTAGTTATAGCTGTTCAGTAAATACCCTTGGGAAAAATCTGGCAGAGCTACTTACAAAGCTCTTTCAAATCTTTCTGCAAAATTCGGAGAGAAATCACCAAAAACAAATTGCAGAAAAAAGCAAGTAACGTAAAATTGCATTTTAAAAGTATGTCAATGATTCAGAAATAACATGGTATGTGCAACATTAGCCTACATAATTGTAAAGATCATTTGATGTTTTCATCATCTTTACCTTTTGCTTCTCATATTACTGCTCTTACCTGTTGCTTATTTTTAGAAACACTGTCAGCTCTTTCAGGCAAAAACTGAGGTATCCTATTCATATACAGAATACATAACATTAAATGGACCTCTGAGTACTCTTTTACTGTAAAGGGAAATTGCAGCAGCTGCATTCAGTTCAGAACACACATATATATATCTCACAAACATAATTTGGCTCATCTTAGTTAATACTCATGCTTTTGATGCACAAGCCAAGAAAGTATACCACAATTTCTGTTATTCTGCTCTTCAGTTATTGTGCATCTGACAGCTTAAGTATTTGAAGGCATTACTGTCAAGTAATATAGATAGACTATGTACCTGCTGCTACACTATACAGTAGTATGGGCAAGACCATCTCCTGAACCCCACGCCAAGTTGCATTGTCTCACATCCACTTTAAAGAATTATCTGCCACTTTCATAGCAAATGTATCTTGGAGTGAGCTACAAGAAAGAATCAGGTATCAAGCTAACACCTGAATTGTGGGGGTGATCAGGTTTTCTCTGCTCAAGTTTATTCTCTTACTGCACATGGACATGATAATAAGGAACAGAGCTGTTGTAGAATTAGGGCTATTTTCACAGTCCTTTTTCAAACAAGAGGAGCACAATGTAGTAAATATTATACAGTTACACAGGAATGCTGATTAGAAAGAGAATCCTAAATCTATTTTATTAATCTTTCAAATAAACCTAAAGCATCTAGCATTAGGAATCTCTATGATTATTCATGTAAGAGAATCATCTAACCTGTGGAAGGACTCTGTATATAGCATTGCCACACTGTGTGACCACCAGATCTCTGTCAAATATTATGTGGAAAGGAAAGGCCTTGCAGAAAGTATAGGGACTGATGCGAGACTCTTGGGTACCATTTTCTTCAAATCTGTCAAGGTCTTCATAGTAGTCCTCTTCTTTAGACTCTTTCTCTTCAATTAAAAACTGAATGTGGTCACATTCTTCATTTCTCTGTTGAATAACCTAGAAAAATGAAGGAAAAAATGAAAAACTGAAAACTCTGCTACTCATTAATAACTGGAATGGTACCGTGAAGACAGGAATACATTTAGAGCAGAAAGATAAATTCAAGAATGATATCTGCATCTTGAAAAATATTATATTCTAATAAAGTATTTCTGATTTTAGAGAGCCTTTATAACTCCAGGTGAATAATTATGCCTTTGCTTAGCCACAGTTGCTCTTTGCATGAACAACATATTGAAGATCACTCAGATACAATTTGTAAAGCCTGAGTGAAATGCACATCCTGATATCAGGGGTCAAGGCTCAGGTAATGCTTGCTTTTACAGGTACGTACCAGAAAACAGGACTCTCCTCTCCCCTTGAATGAACATGTAGCAAGTCTTGAATTACACAGACCACTTGAATTCTTATTTTGATGAAAGCTGTTTGCAAGGTCTATAACACAACAGCAAACAGTGCTGACCAGAGGATGAGCATGTCACAGTCAGCCAGAAGAAAGGTGGATGGAACAGATGTTTGAATATACAGTCCTTACACATTCAAGCAGCGATGACTGCAAGATTAGGACCAACGGATAAAACTAAAAGCAATGACAATCTTCTCCAAGCTGCATTCCATATTAAATGAAATCACAGCAAAACCAGTGTCATCTACATCAGTTGAATCTCAAATAAGTGTCTTGAATATAGCATTTCACACTTCAGTAATTTTACTCAAAGTTAGTAGAAAATATGAAATTAATAGGGATTATTTTGTTTGCAGTGAGAGTCATGTATTGCAGTATAATTAAAGCTAATAACTAACAGAACAACATAATTTACCTTGAGAGCCCAAATTCACCTCTTCTCAAGCCTAATTAGATTTAATGACTGGAACAGAACAATTCTATTTACACAGCATTGTTCAGCAGCAACTTTCTGGAACATGTTGCACCTGATTCTACTTGTAGAGTCTGATCCTAAAGCCACCAAAGCAAAAAAAGACTACTTAAAATCTATAATGCATCCTGATTCTGCCCTTTGCACATAGTCTAACCACAGAGATTAACAGTTACAATATGAAAACAGAACGGATATGCACAAACCTGCACTTGATCCCTAAGGTGTTTAGTTTATTAAATATCTCTCCTCCACAACTGTCAGCCATGCTAGCTGATCGGTTGGGGAGTGCTGATTCCTTTATTTGTTCCTCTACAGATGAAGGAGTATAAAACAACAAAACAATATTTTATTGCTAGATGATGCTTAATTTAAGAAGGTAGCGTTCCTTGATCTCCTATTTGACTATTCATTTAAAGGAAAGAGAGGCCTTTCTGGAGAACAGTTCAGAGCAGGAGCCTGATTTAGGTGCTCTATACCATGTGCTGCATTAGACTTCTCTTTCTATTGCATACGTAAGTAACTCAGAGAAAGATCAGCCTACTAAATTTACCAGCTAATGTCGGTACCTAAAGCTGGATGTATGAACAAGTTTGAACGTTAATGATGATAAAACCTAATTTCCTCAAGAAACTGTGTTCGTAATCCATATGGCAAAGAGAAGTGGGAAATTATGAGTTAATAAGAGGTAAACCTCGGAAAGAATACATGGTGGTCATTTGAGGAAAACAAGTTATGTGGGTTTGTCTAGGAAAATGGAACATAGTAGATAGAGTCCTAGTTTTCCTCTGAATTCAGGGTTTAAAGGTTCTCCATGTCTTCCTCTTCTTTTAAATCATTACCCTTGAAACTGTGAGAGACTGTGGCCATACTGAGGATTGATAGAACGCAGTTAAAGTCTTAGTTCTTACTGTCTATCACTCATACACACTCCCACAGGTTTTATTTTATTATTACTATTATTGTGGCCACAGACAGCTGAGATTATACACAGTAACGTTTTTCAAATTGTGTAGAATTATCACTAGAATTGATCTATGCTTCCAGACCATTTCCAGTCTTGGATCTCACTTCAAAGAGTTGCTCTTGCCACAACTGGGAAAAAAGTGCATACTTTGGATGAAAACCTTCTTCATTCGGCAAAGCAGTCCTAAAATTCATTTTTAAAGATCTAAAAATTTTTAAGGAAATGTTCATATTAATAGCACATCACCTTCCAGAGATATTAATATTATCACCTAATGACCATCTTAGTCACTGCATACTAGTATTCTGTTACCAACCTGCACCTGTACTTACAGGTTTTTTCCTGCTACCATGCAGCACCTAACAGATTTTTCATAACTTCACATCTTTTTCTGTTTATTAGAAATAAATGATGCATCAATAAACAAAACTCAAGTGTTGGTTAAAAAACAAAACCTGTAAAAATAGAACTGCTACATGCTTCAAGACATTTAGCTAGGTTTGAGACACGACCTTCCACGGATCATACAAGCTTACACAGTGATGAAGTCAATCATCACACACAATGTGCTATTTTCCGAACCTTTGTAGATTAGAACTGTGTCAGTAACAGTCCAAAGCTGCAAATTTCCCAGGCATCTTCAAGTTCATTTGCAACGCTATTTTGACCAGACCCCAGGGCATCTAGAAATGCTTGCTGTACTAGTGCATCACATTAGTGCAGCAAATGAACAACAGGCCAAACACATGGAAATGTGTCAGATCTACCAAGATAGCACACGCCTGGTAAACCCGATATGCTGTGGACGTGGCTGGTTTACTGAATTTGATTCTGGTCATCCATGCACAGACCCTTATTAACAGAAACTACAATCATACCCCTCTCCAGGCTAAGAAAGCTATACTCATTCATGCTTAAATAACTTCCCATTGGATACGTAATTTCATGATGTCTTTTCTGCTCACATCATGTATGCGCTATCTAATCTTCCTATCTCATGATTTCATCCACCTTGTCAGCAAATTTAAGATGAGCACTTCTGGTCATTAACATAATATGTTAAATTCTGTCCCTTCACCCCTGTACCTACAGATCCAATCTAAATGGCCAGATACTTATCTGGCATAAACACCTGCCCTAGATACTCTGCAGTAAGCTTAACTAGAATAGAACTTATCTATTGTTTCATTCTGCAAGTGAAGTTTGCAAGCCACAGAATTTCAGTATCATTTAAATATTATTGAAGAAGCCTCTGTTAAATGCTTGACAAATGGAAGTTCAGTGACAGAAGCAACAAAGCCAGGAATCAACTCTAATTCTTGCTTCCCCTGCGGTCTTAGCTGGTGAAGTGACATCAGTTCACTACGTCTAAAAGCTCAATCACCATAGTAACTGCAGTTGAAAACTGAAGGGGAAAATCACTCTCCTAGTTTCAAATAGAACATATAACATCTAACTGCTAACCTGCCTGTGCTTTCCAGAAGATGTATCTTCAGAGTTTGTCCTTGCTTAGCCAGGTGAAAAGTCACACCAGTATTTCACGGAAGGACAATTCAGAGAACAGTTATTTTAAAACGACTTTGTGGTTTAATATATTTGGTGAGCTTCACACAAGATATTAAATCAAGCAGTATCACTGTGATATAGCATTTATAACGAACACATGCTATCTGTTAAACTTTCACTGAGGTATCTACAAGACATGACTCAATTCTCTAGATACAAGCATGTCCACAAGATACGCTCATTTCTCAGCATGGGGGAGAGACAGAATGTCCTTGGACATGGATCTTTTTCCATCAGATTGCGAAGATTAATATGAAGTCAGGTTTTTGCCATTTAAAGGTCAATACAGGATGAAATTCTTGATCTCTTCTGATCAGAACTGACTGTGCAAAGCTACTTGACAAATTTCACTGCAGCTGTTTCAGGGTGATCCTCAGGCAAAGCAGTTCACTGTGGAAACGGTACCACTCTTAGCTTTGCACACGCAAAGTTGAAACTGCGGGGATGTCTCCACCTGGCAGCTGGTTTCAAGGCAGAGACTCTCACTGCACCGAACCTCTGAGCCTGGAGCTAGTGAAGTTTTCTGCTGCCCTTGTGTCCGAATTACCTTCATGCACAGCTAGCATTTTAATGTATGGATCAGTACCGCTTGTCCTCCATAACAAGTACCTAAGCAGTTTTCAGTTCAGCTCTCCAGCTGGTCGCATTGTGGCTTTGCTTTTTTATATTGCCGTTAGTAATGAGACAGTCAGAAATTACCAACTTGTCAAGGATTTCCCCTGGCCTTTTCTCAGTTGATATTGTAAACCGTCTTCGCTGTCTAAAAGAAAGATTTTGATAGTCTGCTCTCAGATAATAACAGAAGTGCAGAAGTCTGTTTTCCCAATAGATTTTTGGGCTTTGTGGGATTGTACAACATTCTTCACTGACCCATACCATTTCTAGCCTTGAGGGAATCTCTGTCCTAGCTTCACCTTCACAGGTCACCCTCATTTATACACAAACAACCTCTGACAAGTGAAGCAAGAGGAGGCATAGCCAGAAGGCTGCTAGCAGAGATCTCATGCCAAAGCTGGTCACCAGCACCATGAAGATTTTTAGTTCTCATACTGAGACTGGCAGAACTTAAATATTCTTAGTGTGTTCTCAAAGTCAGCAACAATTCTTGGGACAATACCTGCTGCAAAAATTATATAGTCTTAGTTCTATTTAGCTAGAAATTACCATATCAGGAAAATAAGGCAAATTGGATTTGAACTAATTAATCAATTAACGTCAACTTAGGCTTTCCTGAACTATTCAAATGGAATTGTGAATCCAAGTTCAAAACAAATTGCCTTCCTTTCAGTGCTAACAGAGTTTAACAGAGACAAATTGAGACCTTTTATTTTTTTTCTTGCCTTCAGCACACACATACCCTAGGTGTTAAAAGAAAAGGCACATTTCCTGAAGGACACCATTCTGGAAAAAAAAAGCCCTAAAGCCCTACTGTATTTCAGAAGAACATGTATATATATATATATATATGTATGTATATATAAAACAGTTTTCTGTGTGAAACTGCAGAAAGGTGATAAAACTAAACTTTTTTTTTCCATTTAGCTATTTCTCCACCCAAAGAAAGAATTTGGGACAAAACATGAACAATGTGTTTTTCTCAATATTTATTTTTCCTCTTGTGATCATGAGATTTCTTAGGTTTTCTCTGCAGGTTGAGGGAGGTGATCCTTCCCCTCTACTCAGCACTGGAGAGGCCACATCTGGAGTGCTGTGTCCAGTTGTGGGCTCCTCAGTACAAGAGAGGTATGGAGCTACTGGAGAGAGTCCAGTGAAGGGCCACTAAGATGATTAAGGCACTGGAGTATCTCTCGTAAGAGGAAAGGCTGAGATAGCTGGCACTGTTCAGCCTGGAGAAGAGAAGGCTCAGGGGGATCTTATCCATGTGTACAAATACTTGAAGGGAGGGTGCACAGAGGATGGAGCCAGGCTCTTTTCAGTGGTGTCCGGTGCAAGGACAAGAGGCAACGGGCACAAACTGAAAAACACAAGAGGTTGTGTCCAAACATCAGGAAACGCTCTTCTACTGTGAGGGGGACTGAGCGCTGGCACCAGTTGTCCAAAGAGTTTGCAGAGTCTTCATCCTTAGAGACAGTTGAAAGCTGTCTGAACATGGCCCAGGGCAACTGGCTCTAGGTGGCCCTGCTTGAGCAGGGAGGGGGTTGGACAAAATAACCTCCAGACGTCCCATCCAACCTCTGCCATTCTGTGATTCTGTGTAACCCATGAAACAAAATCTAACCACTTAATAAAAACAGTATTATTGTAAACAATTAAGATCTGCTACCACCTTCAGAGAAACAGGTAATATGTAAGACAAATTCAAGCAAAATTTCATGAAAATACAGACTTAGAAGCATGCATTCTCTCAAGCAGATTTATGTAAGCATTTGTTCTAAACAGCTGCAGAAGAAAAGTGGATAATAAAATATTAAACATCAAATTGCAGATATCAACTTTACACAAATATAAAGAGAACTGCAGAACTTACTAAACCAGTCCTCTGTTGGATCATTATGTAAATGCCTTGGATAAAGAGATTTGGAAGGACAACTTGAGAATCTCAGCTCTGTTCTTGCAAGTCGGAAGGCAACTCCCATAATATCAGAAACTTACGGCTAGACACTGAGGCTCTTATCAGTTCCAAAAAAAAATCTTCCTTAAGCAAAATTCTAACTAAAGTCTAAACGAAAAATTTTACAGAAGAGGCATTTATTGGTCCACAAAAACTGAGGGGATGAAAAGCAGCTCCATTGTTTTTCTGTTCTGTGCTATTTCAAATAATGCATTACTAAGTCTGAAACATGAAAGCATTAGTTTACCAAATTATGAGGCAAGGGATCGAGATGAAAGAAGTCGGTCAATTTTTTAGTCCTGTTCTCATTTTTTTGAACAGTGTAAAACTAGCCAGGTACCACAGTGGCAGACTTACTCTGCTTTAAAATCCTCACTCTGTACCATTAATGATTAATAATTGACCTGTGGAGTAATGGAGGGAGACTTTCATTGTCTGTGTGGATAATCTGCAAATTTTGGCACTCTCACCTTACAGAAACAAGTAGCTAATTATTCTCTGCTTATCTACCACTGAAGTTTGTGAGTACTTGTGGAGTAAAGCACTATTTAATGTCATTGAAGGTGTCAAAAGCTAGGCTTCATTAACCAGCAGAGACAAGTAGTAGTTCAGGGTTGAGGGCACGACTTTCTAATAGGGACAAGGGAAAAAACAGGGTAACACACAAAATAAAACACAGACTATATGCACTTTCTTCACTTTAGAGGTAATACTAATTTTTAGGCACCTATGTGCTTTTGGCTCAGTCTGGAAGAATAGTTTGGATTTAAATTAAACTTTGTGCTCATTTACAATAGGTTTGGCCAACACTATTAAAATTAAATTTCTATTTAATTACAATACAACAATAAAATCTCTAGAAAAGCCTAACAAAGTCAAAAGAAAATGAGAAGTAAATTTAGAATCAATATTTAAAACTCTTTGGAACATATATGATTTATGAGAAGTCCTAGATGGACATCAGTACTGTCCAATACAATCTTCTCAACAAAGTAACATTCAGAACATAGTTTGTCAAAAGTTTGTTCTGGTAGCTGCTTTGCACAACCCAGATTTCTCCTCTGCCCCACTGATCACTTTTGTCTCTGCATAACCCCTTGACTATGCTAGCAGAACTTTCTCGGACAGACAGAACACCAAACCACATAAAGGAACAGATGTGGGTAAAAATAACCCAGAAAAAAAACCCTGTTATTTTGAAGCCAGTTCATTTCCTCAGGCTAGTTTATTTTATAGCTTCAAAACAGCTGGAGAGACACAGCTGAAGAAGCTGTCGTAGGACAAGCTTGAGCAGTAAGAGAAGGGAGACTGCATAAGCCACCTGTCCTACCAAAAGAAATGCTTGTCAAGCAACAGCTTCAGCACTCTTGCAGCCAATGTTCCAACATGGTACTCCTTGTTTGTCTCAACACTTTGAATAAACACGGACCTAAGAAGAAGATTGTTTTGATTCTGTTGCATCCTTTGTATCTGATTACTAACACCTGCTGTAAAAGTTTGAACAATGGATTTCTACAAAGTAGAATCTAAACAAGGACATCAAGTATATCACCATCACTATACAGAACTAGCCATTCACTATAAACCTGAGCTAGCTTGTAACAAGAAACCTAAAAGGCAAATACTCTGATATAGCAGTACAAATACCTTTGTCACTGGGTTCCTTGTAAATCTCTTACGTAAGCAAGATCGTGTTTTTGTGACACATTCATGACACTGGAATGGATTTTCTGAACAAGTATACAATGAAACTGTGCTAGAAATGTAATATGACTAGGGAATAGTTAAAAAAAAAAAAAAGAATGCTTGCTGTACCTGCTTCTTTTTCTACTTGATGAAAAGTATTTTATATCAGTTGCAATACTCCTAACACCAAAAAACTTTTATTTGTTGTTTTTCCCCAGATATATCTGCACCTTGGATCAAGCTCTGATTTTATACCATTACATATGCAAGGCCTGTTCAAGTAAATCTTTCTGTTGCTCTGTATGGACACAAAGCAGAAGCCTCTTTCCCATTTCACAAGTGACTTTGCACACATGATGTTATGTAAGCTCTGTGACTGAGGAACGTTTTTCCACTTGTGGGGCTGTAGGTGTACATCCATCCATGCTCCCACACAATGGTAGTATGAGACCCACAAACACATCTTCGTTCTGGGATGGACCTGGCATGCAGACTGGGAGGAAAACACTCTGCTCGCCAGCCAGGCCTCATCAACGCACATCAGCCTCACAGTCTGCACATAGATGAAGAATCTAGGACACAGAGACAAAATGTTCATGTTCTCACAGAACACAGCAGACAGTAAGAAAGATATGCCAAATATAAAATAAAGTGGAAAAAAGTACACCAAATAACCCAGTACCTAATTTCTGTACATGTCATCTCCTTTGAATAAGGCGATATTGTTCTGAACTGTTGCTGTTTGGGTCTGTTTGCAAATTAGTGCTGGCCTTCTCAGCAGATGGCTGACCTGTCCTTAAAGCAACACAAATGATGATGGCTCTTCCTCAGTCAGTACTGATGCCACTACTTCACAGAGGATAGCAACAATGAAAATGATTGTTTGCCATCACTTCACTTTTGATTTTCTTGATTTTGTCCTAATGACATAAACTTCCAATGTGTACATCCCTTCAGACATTACCTTCATATCTATTTCTGTACCGTGGATCTGTTGAGCTACTGTTTTGATGATTCCAATGACAATATCCTGGAGACCTTCTCTTTCCGAATAGTAATGCAGAATGAGTCCCTTCCCCTTCTCCGCATCAGTGCATCTAAAGGAAGGGGCTCGCATACCCGGGTAAATAGTAGCAAGGTGGTCATGCAAAGCATCCAGGTTCTGGAAGAAGAAATTAAAAACATGATTATAAGGCATTCACTTATTAGTTCTGAAGAAAGTAAGTACATATTCTGTCTAATCTGAACATTTCCTTTCTCTGACTGCTCACACTCCCTGTGCATTTGCCTTATTATTTGTATAACTGTCATCATAGCAGGCTTTTCAGGTAGCTCATGATGTTCTTTCCGTCTACTGTGGCAATATTTGGACAATGAATGGCATCAAAATTAGCACTATTAAAAATTATTCCAGATAGTAAGAATTCATGCTTAACTATGCTGTATTTTGAAACACTCCAATGGTTAAAGACCTTGTGTGTATTACTCAATCCTGTACCTCACCCACTGTCATCCTTTCCAAATTCTAGTCCCTATAATCTCCTCTTCAAATGTGAATTTAGGTGTCTGAATAAACATGAATCTTCTTCCTTATTCTCAATGAAACAAGCTAGTCCTGACACCGTAACAGTCAACCCAAGTTTACAGGGCCTAACAAAGTCTCAAATTTTAAAGTAAAGATTTAAATTAGAAGACCAACCTCAAATACATACTTTCTTTGGGAATAAATGAAAAAATCCACAGAATACATAGAATATATCACAGCTGCCGTAATAATGTTTCAGAACAGGTTATTCAAGAAAGGGAAGAAGTCTTCTATTTTTCCAGTTGCTGTCCTGGACATCTTATGTATTTAACTTTAAATTTTGACCAGACAAATTGCTATCTGGAGAGGAAAGCTAAATGATAAATTGATAGGCATATCTAATAAGGACATTAAAGAGAACAATGAGATCAAAATCACACTTAGTACACAACGCTAGCTCCAACTTCGATTATGAAGCAATTATCAAGGCTCCAGTTTGCTATTTACTGTATATTGACACAGAAAGAGCAACCTAGAGCAATCTTGCTGGATAGTGTTGCAACCCACATAATTATTTACCTATGTTGGAAAATTCATACAACTCCTTGACATCCGACGTCCAGAACATTACTGCATATTTTAAATGTTGTTCTCCTACCGCCTCAGGTAACTGCTGGCACCAGGCTTTGCATATTGTTTTCTGCCAGCACAAAGAGAAGTGAGGTGAAAATATTTTCAATGTGCTGTCTGGGCCATCCTCCATCTTTCATGAGCATCTGTCGATCATCAAATTTGTGGAAGCATACGGAACTTGATTTCATGTGAGTTGTGAAGCGCTCGAACAGCTGCCTCTTCTCCTGGGAGGCCTCCAGAGGAAATGAGACTCTTAGAAATTAATTCCGTAGGATGCACTCAGCCTGGAACTTCCTCCTTCAGTTTTTTAGTTTGTTCCAAATTCATGTTTTTGTTGCTATATCAACACCTCCAAATTAAAGCTTGAAGAGGCAACAATCTGGGAGTCAATTCATTCCAGCTGTTAGTGGGCATTCAACTGCAAAAAGTATAATGCTTGAAGGCAAATTCTGTAAGAACTTTGCAGGGTTCAAGACAATGAAATTGGAAGAGACTGCTTTGAAAAAGTGTGGGTGAGAAAAGAATGAGAGAGCTGACTGGCTCTGAGAGAGTGCCCAACAATCTCCTTAATCAGGTGCAGAACTGCTCTTTCAGTACACATGCCTCAGAAACAGCTGGGATATATTGACCTTTTGGAAAAAAACTCTTAAGGAGATACATGGGAAAAGATGATAATCTTGCAGTTACACAGTCATCAACACCTGAAGAATTTCAAAAGGAGTTTGTTACGGAAAATGGCCAATGTCAAGAACAGAATTTTTATAAGATGATTGTCTAATTATTAACACTCAAGTCTGGCAAAAGTGTTGCTAACAAATGGCAGTAGCCCCATTCTACAAGACCACTTTGCCACCCTACTACCCCACTACTGACTTTGTCCAAGCAGTGTCACAGGCAAGCCCATGTGATATGCCCTTCAGTCGTGACTCTCTAATCATCCAGAGTGGGGACTTGCCCCAGGATGTATTGCAGCTGCTTTCCAGTCCCCAATGTGTCTTTTCTCTCTATGCATACAGATTATGAGGTGAGCGAAGAGCTTATTGTATTCAGAGCCTTGCTACAACACGTAGTCAAGAAGTAGCAGAGATGTGCTTCCAGACCAAGGAGCTGAAATCACTCCCAGATCTTGTCATTTGGACATTGTCACTGTCACTCCCACTCCTATTTTTTGTTGTGTTTGATCCATTCTAAATTGATATTGCAGCTTCTGGAAGAACAAATGTGTCTTTTTTCCCCGTTTGTTCACCTGCTATGGGCCAGAGGTGCAGTCAGGTACAGACAACAACAGGTTAAGCTCTCTCCCTGAATTGTTGGCTCCTACACTGCCCAGATGTATGCCAGAGCTTGTGCTGGGACTAAAGACATGAATTCTAGAGCTTTGTAGAGAGTGATCAGCTCCATGGTGAAACACAAAGGGATCTCCAAGCAAGAACAAGCAGTGATACTAAAACAGGCACATCCTGGCCTGTCTAAAAGCAAAAGAATTGTGATTGGCACCTGAAATACAAAGATATGCTGTTCAGCTCTGTGTGGTACAGAGCATCTGGAAACTTTTCTAAAAGAGGAATTAGTCCCCTGAAATTTATTGCATTGCAATTATGAACAACTAAATAGCCATGTAAATGATTCCCTAAATGAGAGAACCAACCACTACTCCAATGTTTGATTTTCATTCAGTAGAAAGCTACTGAACGTAACATATGGGTTTCTTAGGAGGTATCTCTCTTCACGCTGCTTCTCTTTGGCACAGTGACTTTCAATATGATTTGCAATTTTCCAGGCCTGTGTTTTTCATAGAAAGTATAAATATTAGATTTAGTTGCTCTATCTTTTTCCTCTTTCATGAAGCTTGAAGTACCTGTGTTTCATCTACGAATAAACTAAATTTTCTCTGAGATGTCAAGGGTAACAGCATAAATATGAGATTTATTTTCACTTGCTTTAAAAAGCTGCAGCCCTCAATTATTTTGTATATTCCTGGACGCAGTACAGATTTCAAGAAGCACCTTTCGGAACTCTATTATGTATTTTAAGAATTTGACAAAAGTTCAGCACATTAAAACCAATCTGCACCTATTTTTGTAATAGGTATATAAATTAGTTTCCTGACCTAATCTGACTGCTGGAAGATGCAAAAATAATAAATCACGGATAACGTTGATTTTCCATCATAATAAAAAGCTAAAAAGTACACTTCTGGCACAGCTACTAATACATTAGTCCTGTTAAAATTTACAGAAGTGTATAATAGCCAATGTCATCTGTTAACACTCAAATTCAAACAAAGCAGCTTAAAATACTGTCATTAGAAGAATATAAATGTAAGCTGTTCACGCTTTTATAGAGGTTTGGTGTGCACTACAAACGCATCCAGTCTTTTCATCATCACACATGGTAAGGAATGGAAAGAGACTTATACTATATGAAAAAGGGGATGAGGGAAAGGAATAGGAAAGGACTGGCCCATCCATGGGTACCCAAAGTGATGGAGCAATGGGCCAGCTATACCTTTTTTTCCCTCCTCCCCTATTCTTGCTCAACCCTAACCGCAACTTCAATACCTGAGTCATGTTCAAAAATTACATTTATCTGACGGCTTGCTTTGAGGGCAGCCTGTGAATGAAGCTATGAAATACAAAGGACGTCACATCCCATAGACAGACAACGGTATATAGATCACACATGGTATGCACATGTTGGAGCATACACACACCCTGTCTGTCTGCCTGCCCAGCAATTACAGTCCATGGGACTTGTACAAGAAATCTGGGTTGACTACATTTAGGATGCTCTGGAATAATCCAGGTTTTGGGGCAGGTAGTGAGACACAGAAGTAAATATTCCAGTAATCCAGCAAACTATGCACTCTGCTCTTTCCACTTATTACTGCTGGAGAGATTTTAAGGGAACAGATGACAGTGAAAATCAATAGAGATTTGACACTCAGCTTTTGGGCAAACTCCCGTGAAATCTTAATCAGTTCAGTGTTTTTAAACTCATTACAGCACACAGTTCTTTCCAAGAGTGATATGTATCACAAATCTTAAATCCAAAGTGGTTTTTTGAAGTGAACAATTTTCAGGTGACCAAAAAGGTAAGCCCATTTTTTCTAGAAATCACACTTCAGATAAGTCACATTTCTTCCATGCTATTGAAAAATTGTTTTCATTTTCTTTTGTTTTACACTGCAGTTTTACAGTGCACTGTTCCGCAGTTAGGAAAGCACAAAAATTGACTTAAACACTGCTGCTCTATCCCACCCTCAGTTCATGGATGAAGGATAATGTCTTAGAGATAAGCTGTGTATGAGCCCTAGCTCTGTACATAATGTACAATTAGAAATAACCAGTATCTATAATTAGTCAAAGAGAACTTAGGAGAAGAAATATCCCACAAATCTGAAGACCATATTTTCTGTTAATATAAACAAGGTAAGTCTTTTTACTTAACACACAGAGACAATTTGAATTGGTGGTTTTTTTCATGTCTCTTGTACTCCATACTTCAGTTACATATGAAAAATCCTGTTAAAAACTTTCCTTTGGAATTTCAAATGAAATTTCAGATTTATGAATGCTTCTGCAACCCCAGCTTACCTGCCTTCTCACTCTTTTTTTATGAAATTGAATAGTCAAAGATGCTATGGGAAAATTATTACTCTATCAGGTAACTGAATAATACATTAATTGAGAGGGA